ATGGTGAGAATATTCCGAGGCTGTACCACGAAATTAGGTTGCATCTTGTGCACACGGGGGTCTTGGGAGTCTATTAAATGGAGAAGTGATATTGCAGTAAGCTATATACATGCGTTCGAAGGAGTGACGTGGTGATAAGCTGGGGTAGCTGCTAGATACGAAAAACATCGGCATTCATGCAAGATAGACAGTCAGATACGAGCGCTGGAAAGCACGGACTGCTCGACTTGATGCGATGGGATACATTTTGGAAGCTGGGAAGACAAGAGTCGGACGCATGTATGCACTGCAAATGTGCATACTGTCGAGGACAGCGGGTATGACAATAGGATGCATCACGGGAATAGAGGCGTGGGCACGAACAGCCTTAGATGTCCTGGGCGTCTATTGAAATGAGGCAAGCGATGAAGCACCATGAAATGCACCATACCGTACCCTCTCAGCAACTTAGAGAAAGACACAATCCCTCCAAAGTTTAGCCTCGGCTGTATTCCATACCATCAATATCCAGCAAAATGTCGGAGCTCATTACAATTACCACTCCCCTGCGAGAGTTCAAAGCCCATGAAGGACACATAAGTGCAGTCGCAGTTTTCCCCGATAAACGACGGATGGTTACGGGCTCGCACGACAAGACGCTTCGTCTGTGGGACTTGAAGACAGGTGTTGTGTTGAAAAAGATGGAGGGGCATCGCAATCCCGTGTTGGCATTGGCAGTATCACAAGATGGGCAATTGATAACAAGCAGTGATTGCGATGGAGAGGTCATCGTCTGGCACGGAGAAACTGGTGAATTAGTCACCAAAATAAAAGCCCACCCAGGTTGGATCTACTCGCTGGATTTTTCTCCCGATGGAACAGTCCTGGCCACTGGTTCATATTGCAACAAAATGACGAATCTGTGGAATACCAAAACCTGGCAGCAGCAAGGAGATCCAATCGAGTGTGGTGATGACAGTGTTTCCCGTATACGGTTTTCACCGTCCGGAGAACTTATTGCCATCAAGACATCAAAAGGCAATATTGAAATTTACAATTCAGGCACGAGGGAACACGTCGCAAAGTTCGAGGTAGCAGGTCATTGAACTCGTCACTCGCGTGGACGCCCGATGGCACACGCCTTCTCACATGCAGCAATGATTTTTATACTACCATACGTGAATGGGATACAACAACCTGGGAGCAGGTCGGTGATCCTTACAAGGGCCACGATCACCGTGACAACATCATGATCAGTGACATTGCCATTCATCCTGCTGGTACATTCGTCGCATCCGCATCTAATAACGGCGTCCGTCTCTGGCAGCTCTCAAATCGACGAACTGTTGCTATATTCAAGTCGACGGAGCACGTCACTTTCTCCGTGGACGGCAACCACATCCTCAGCGGAGGCAGCGATGGCATCATCTCAGAGTGGGCGGTACCTCGGAGTATTTATCGAAAGGCATGTTTCCGTCCCTGATTCATATACAAAGAATTGAGCGTGGTTCTTGCAGACTATCGCCATCACAACAGCCCGCGATGCATGGAGAGATGGAGACCTATCTACTGACGAAGAACTACTCACGCACAAAGCACACCAGAAACGGTGTGATGCACTTTTTCGGGCGGGTAAACTCCAAGATGCCGTGAAATCATACCAACACATGATGGCTATGAGCGACGAAACTACAAATGCTGACTACTTTGACTGGTCTAACGGCAAGTCTAGAGTCCATAATGTTACGTAGGCTACAATCCTCACCCACATTTCTCTCAGATTTCAAGCAAGAATGCAGCGCACTCTGCGTTGCCAACGGAGATGCTGCCTTGGCTGCAAGCGATTACGACCAGGCTATCGACCTATACTCCACGGTGATCGACCTGGATTCTGCATCCGATGTCGTCTTTGCAAATCGCAGCCAGGCAAACTTAAGTAAAATGCTATGGGTAGACGCGCTCCTCGACGCGGACAAGGTGCGGTAGCACCTACATTTTCGTAGCCCATGTTGACTTCGGCGATGCATAGGTCACCGAACTCAATCCTTCGTCTCACATTGGATACCAGTTGGCGCACGCAGCGTTGCATGGTGCGCAACGTTACGATGAAGCCATAGAGTCCTTTATAATCATGTTGTCCAAGTTGGACGATGCTCCCGAAGCTCAGATACGAGGTAAGCCATGGAACACTCCTGTGTCGTCTCGAAAAGCTCTTCTCGTTCCGCAGATCTGCGTCAGCAGTACGTCTGTCCATCCGAAGCAGAAGACGCTATTCGAAGAGCAGTTGGAATTGAACTCAGAAACGCCCCGCTTCGTCTGCTCAACACCTCTACGGGTCTCTTGTGCGACCGAGCAGCACAGCTAAACTCCTTCAAAATAAGTCGAGAATACAAAGAACTTTTGTCATTCATAACGAAATGTTCGGATCTCCAAATGCAAATGGAACGCATCAAGGAGGTGGTGGCAATGCACTTCCGTTGCGTTTTGCTATCACACAGGTGGGAAGAGACGGAGGTGCTGCTGCACCACATCCAAAATAGAGGTGTGCGCCAGTTGGAGGGATATGGTGGCATCGCGAAACTGCAGTCGTTCTGCAAAGTTGCTCGTGATGCGGGGTATTTCTGGGCGTGGATGGATACATGCTGCATCGATAAGAGCAACAACGTCGAGCTTCAAGAATCGGTCAATTCCATGTTCGTCTGGTACCGTCACTCGGCGCTCACCATCGTCTACCTATCTGATGTCCCTCCTTCATCCCAACTCGGCGCATTGGCGAGCAGTGTTTGGAACGAACGAGGATGGACATTTCAAGAACTAGTGGCTCCGAAAGTCGTTATATTTTATCAGAAGGATTGGTCATTATATCTCGACGATCGTTCTCCCAACCACAAAGAGTCCCCAGCAATCATGAAGGAGTTGGAGGATGCCACGGGAATAGATCCACAGGCCCTGATCTCCTTCCATCCAGGGGTGAGAAATGCTAGACAGAAACTGCAATGGGCATCGAAGCGCGTCACCACTGTGCAGGAAGACGCCGCATACTCGTTATTTGGTATCTTCGACGTCCACCTACCTGTCATCTATGGCGAGAGGAAGCAGAGCGTGCTCAGCCGGCTCCTGCAGGATATCGTGTCTCGGTCGGGCGACATCACTGCCCTGGACTGGGTCGGACAATCGTCCGAGTTCAATAGTTGCCTTCCAGCCGACATCATCTCATATGCAACCCCGCCATGCTCCCTACCATCATTGTCTGAAGATGAGATTCAGACCGCGGTCTCTTCATTGCGAAACATTGTGGCTGTTGACTTAGCTTCTAAAATGTATGACCTGCTCGAGAACATGCATGCTTCCCTCTTCGCCAACAGCAGACTCCGTCTGCCTTGCATCGCATTCCGTGTCACAGAAGTCAAACGGAGGCGCGGTGATGCTGCTCATTCCACATATAGAGTGAAATCAAATGGGCTTCAGAAATTGCTGATCACCACGGACGAGACACTAATTCAGTTCTCGTGCGCAAAGCCCACTCGACAGACATTCTTTCTTGTCCGCCCATGGGATCGTCACCTCCTTGAGCTGCCTGACTTTGCGGACGAAACGGAGAGCGCAGAGGATTGGTCTGAGTTCGAGTCGTCCAGCGACTCATCTGGAGAAGAGGAGTCGTCAGTTGGCTCGGAAGATCATTGCGTTTGATGGTTCACCTTGGGCGGGCTTTCAACGCACTTTTACTAGCGCAGCAACGCGCTGGAGAATACAAGAGGGTCGCGTCGGACCATAATATCATTGCTCAGGTGAAAGACACGGCTTCGATTGACATTATGAACATCAAGACCCTAGACATAGTGTAGCTGAATGGTTTTTTCAACACATCGACGATCGCATTATCATAGCCTCATAGATCATACATACCCTGCAAATGATTCTCGCACATACAAGATCTCAAAATTTGATATGCAGAGTCAAGTGCCTACGAACTTAGTTAACATAATGCACCGAGGCACGATCTGGTCTCAGGGCGGTTGCGGAGGACGATGTCGGTATCTGCTGCATTAGAGTCAACATGTGCGCTTGGACCGTGTTGAGTAATACATCCGGTTGTTTGGATTCGGGGCTGTTGCCAAACTACATCCTGAAAGCGCTTAGTTACACAGTTCTTGTGTACTATGGGGTGTCCATGATTATTCGTACGCAGTGGCGAGCAGTGTAATCTACTGTAGTAACCTGGTGCATTCTCTGTCAGTGGTGCATAGATCAGGCTTGGGTTATCAATTAGATATTACTGTCTGGACTCTGCTGCAATCGCAAGACGAACGAATATCGAACGCACTTCAACGCAGCGGCCATCACTGCTACACTGTATTGGATTTCCTTATCACGGAAAATCAATCGAGCGTAGTAGTGGCGTCAGCCATGTTTCCTTATTCCACAGCTTCGTACTTCGATCCAACGAACAAGCGACGAAATTCCATTTCATCCTGGAGAAATTTTAATGAGCAAAGTGGGCTTACATTGCTTCAGCGAGCGAGTCCCCAGTTTCCCCGTGCCAGGTGATGATCTCCCGCTCCGCACCTCACTGCGATATTCTACAAGACTGCGTCTATCTCGAAGTCATGCAGACAAATAATCTTGTTGTACGAGCCTGTGACTGATGCGTCGCCTATCAGGCAATACTGCGACTGAGAGTGCCGCTCCACTATGATCTTTAACGCTCGAACGGGTGAGGTACCTGAAATGAAATGCATATTACTGGAGGTCGAGGTAGGGAGAAGGATCATGTGAGTGGAGCTGCAGAGGTGCACGTGTACATTTTCTCATGCTTCACAACATGATCAACGCCCGAGACAAGAAGCTCTTATCATAAGCACCTGAGCATGGGTCCAACCTGCGTCCCCCCAGCTTTCAAGATGACTCAACGAGCTCTACTGATGTTATGATAGTCATAGCAAGTGTTGAACAATATTAGGATCGAATGGGCCCAATGCTTCGGATGTCGAGAAACTGACTCAATACCGGTATGCAAGCGCTGGCAACCCCTGGATGACCAGTTGACCAGTAGCATATTGACCCGGGAGTCGAAAAAAGGGAACTAGTATTGTCTCATCCATCAAAATTTACGGAGTTTGCAATTGGGCAGAAAAGAGTACGAGCTGCAGCACATATCCGCATGCTGTTTTACTTCTGGTGAACGAGCACTTGGGACCATGTGCATTGGAGACGAACGCTGCGGAGCGTGTTTAGTCTGATGAATATATCATGGGCAGAGTAAGTAGTAAGTCGTAAGTAGGGTAGTATCCGGAATAAACAGCAATAAAGAAAGAAAGACATTATCCGCATCGTCACAGCTCGTACTTGGCACTCCGCGTGTTACTATGCATGATAAATGCCTAATCCATAACCCACCATCTTACAGCCTGACATGCACCAATCTCGGGGTGCAGGAGAACCGCAGAGAGCCAGTACTGTAGTTGTCTCCGGCGACGATCGAGGAAAGCCGCTCGGTAGCGCGAGAAGGGATATTTCGGGGGAAGGGCTGGGATGAAATGGTGTTGATGTTTCTGACGGGGTTACTGAGTACTGAGACTTTAATGAAATAGAACAAGGGATGGACGCACAGGTAATGAATGTTTCAGAGCGTCGTACAACAGTACGAAATCACTATACCGCTTATGTGCGTGGATAGTAGTATCCTATTTACGGTCATCTCCAAGCTGAGCCACAACATAGAAGGCATTGCGAACCTCTTTTGTGCGAATCACACAATCATACACAACATAAGCCCCACCCAGCTTATCACCCACGCTCGTCCACCCCGCGATATGTACGTTTCGGGCAAAAGCAAGACTCGCGCCAGAGTTGTCGTTCAGCCAGATGTCGCGAGAGAAAATAGAGGGTGGTTCCTGGGGAGATTTGGGCCGGCTGGATGGGCGAATGGAAATTTGATCCTGGACAGGGTCAGTTAAGTATTTTGTACGGCAGAGTAGAGAAACGAACGTCACACAACTCGTCGTACAATTGTGCTTCTGCTTCGACATCGATTCTATCGTCCGGAATGACGACAAGAAGGCTTTCTGTATTTCGGAAAGGATGAGTGGGCGTGGGCATAGTGTCGACAGTGAGCTTGATGAGGACGAGAGCGACCAATTGAAGTTTCCCCGGATGACAAATTGGGCTGACGTGACTCTTCCCAAAGCCCCTTCTCCACAACCACCAGGGCAGTACTACTAGTAGTAGCTGTAGGGGTCGACAACCTTACCAGAATCCTGGACAGATCATTTCCTACAAGGTCGTGCACACGGCCCTATTCTCAAGAGAGAACCAAGCTGCTGATTCTCCAGTGAAAACTGGACATGGCCAAAACGGGTCAGAATAGTGTAAAATATTCAATTACACCGCATCGCCGATCTTACATTACATTGTTCGTGTCGTCAAACGTGTTTTCGTCAACACACACGTCGATCGTTCTCTGAATCCTCAATTAATCCGTTCATGCATGTGTGCAACACCGTCACCTCCTATAGTACTAGTTCGTCCACCTGGTTCATTATCATGTGCCAAACAGTAGTACCAGTGACTGCCATGCTCTCCACAAAACTGTTCTCCGACACATAAACTCGAGGCATCCAGGGTTGGTGGTCAGTTAACATTATTGACTCCGAAGGGTCAAATTCCACTATGACCGTTAACTTATCCAAAACCATCGAAAGTTAAAGCTCAACGTTCAGAAATAAAGTTAGTATTTGCGACGGGTGTCCTAGCCCTTTCCCAATGCGTCACGCAAGACTCGCTCGTCAAGTCAACGTCATGACATACCTGTGTAAATGCCATTCCATCCCTACTCACCTTATTGAGAACGGATGCAACCCCTGCTTGCCTTACAGCAAAAAAATATTTCCCTGACAGTTTGACAAACTCGTGATAATTTCTTTGCTTTGACCCTGCCTTTGACGCTCAAGCCACCAAGATGCTCTTCTAGTTGCAGACACTACTTCTACGAATGCATGGTCTCTGGCACTTACGGAGGAAATTCTAGGTGTGATTGCATCGTTCATCTTTGACCTTCAACTGATACGCATTTATTGTGGTGATATAATGGCGCCAAGACCAAGGTAAATGAAGGGTCATGGGTATCTTGAGTGCTTGTATCATATGATTAGCTACCACAGATGCCTCTACAGGGTTGAAAACGTTGATGTGGGAGACATGTATGTACCTACTCTGCATTTCGTCCTAATAAGCCGGAGATTTTTCTAGTCAATAGGGTGTCATTCCCATAACGCCTTCAACGTATATCTACCATATCTACCCAATTCTTGCCATGGTGGACTGGAACGATCCCGACCTCGAAGCGAAATTGGGGGCACTTTCAGTACAGTTGTTTTATGCCATCTTTGGCTTATATAGGCGAGTGCTGCGCGTTGTAATGTCTTAAATGTGGTACCAATTAGCCTGCGTCCGCGTCTGTAGTTGGGAATATATACGCTCCTCACACGTGGAGATAGCACTGCTTCGGAGGCAGCTTCCATTTCGATGGCCTCTGGTGCGTATTCTCAAGGAAACGGTAGAAGCTTGCTACTTACAAATGCCCAGCTCTCGTATATCACCGCCAGACTCAGCTTGTTGATTGTGACAGTTTTACTGTGAGCCAACGTAGAGGAAGTGACAAGCATACTAACTGCCTTTTATCAGTGCGATGCAATATAGTCCCTTTCACGTAAGCGTTGATTGTCAGAGTGAGTGTTTTGTATATTTTAATCTTTGTTGAGGAGGCTTACCTCGTTTTAGGCATTAATTCCATCATCATGGTGAGTACGGGAGCACCCTCGAGGTTGCTGGTTTACCATCATATTACCTAGCTTGTGACAAACGTTGCCATCGGTTGCTCTGCGACAAATCTGATGATCAGAACGTAAATCCTTGATTATCCCCCTCATCATGCTCGATCTCATGGTATATATATGTAGGTGGATTATCTGGAACACCAGTTACCTGATGCGCCTCTTCCTAGTCCTCACATCACTAGGTTATTGGACAATTCTCACTCTCTGTGCGTATTTGCTGCCCTCTAGTGTGATATGTCCAACCATTTTCTAGTCGTCGTAACTACTCGTGCATCTACCACAAACGGGTTGTGCATGATCCATTTTACCAACCCTGCATATGCTACTGCGGTGGTCATATATAGTACGCATATCACATTTATGATCAATGGATGTGATAATCAATACCTCGGGTATAGCCATGTTGTATGATTTGGCACTTGTGGTCTTTACCGTTATTGGACTTCTCAAGGTGTCATCGTCTTCCACGCTATGGAAGAGGCTCGTGAAACAGGGGGTGATATACTTCTTCCTCAATGTGTTAGTAAACATGATCCTACTGGTGTGTTCCTTGTTACTCTACAGGGCTGTCGCAGACCAAACTTTGTAGATCCTGAATCGTTTGAACTTGAGTCGTAAGACTATTTCACTGCATTGCAAACGCCCCCTCACTCTATATCCTCAGCTATTATGAATGCTATGTTCTCAATGCCTGGTATGTGCCCATAATCTGTTTGATTCAGTTTATGTCGCTGACCTTTTGAAAGCGGTATGCGTCTGGTCAGGACTCTCGTTACGACTTCCGGTTTCGACGTATGACCTAGTACTTTCATTTGCAGCACGATTGCATCTAGCCAAGTGGTCCTCTCGCTCCTCCGTCCTTCGCTTGATAGTGAAAGGTTTTTCTTTTTTTTCTCCGTCTGAATGTGTCACCAGTCTCATTCGTTGGTAATAGTGACAACTCCTCGTCGGCTAAAATGCCTCCGCTGACGACTAACTTCACCGTTTCGGGGTAAATTCTTTGTCTGAGATGCGTGTACCGTGATTCACTGTGCGTTCAGGTTCCAGTCCATGGCTGAAGCCTAAGAGAGTATTTGTCTAGAATCACCCCAATTACTACACCATCCCCACGTGTATAGTTTCATGAGAGGGTTTGTATCTCGGCTTCAACCGTATGGGGTCGCATATATTGTCTCTATGATGCCAAACTCGAGTTTTCCAGCGCTTGCAAGTTTGACGGAGTCTTCATGCATGATTGGATTTCGTGGATGCATAAAACAGACTAAACATCGTCTCGCAGTCATCCTACTTGTTCCAATCTTGATCAGTGTCACCCGTTTGTACTATCCACATGCAGTCGGCTCTTGAATATGTAATATGATACTTGTATTGTGTTTTATGTAGAAATCGGTAACATGTGCAGCGTATCATCAACAAAACTGCATTCTTTTCCACTCAAATTCCTGCATGGAAATGAGGGGAAGTATTGGTGTTCTATAATGGGACCGGCCTTCTACCCTCCAGACTCAAAACCCCTGGTAAGGGTCATTATTGGAGCCGACAAGTCCCTTGATGTGCAGATATCACGGACATTATATTGGTACTGCATTTTCCAGGTGACTGCCACGGCTTTGAATGAGGACATGACGAAACGTCAAGTGCTTTTGCTAGCTCAAAGGAATTCATTTGAATCTAGCAAGAACACGACGGGCTACTTCCATGTTCTCCCGAGTTAAGTAGTAGTCTGACCTGCTATGGAAGTGGACTGCTGTTGTAACTCAGGGTCCTGATCGAAATATTCATCAGGTACCGAGTCTTTTTCTAGGCCAAGATCACCAGCTGCAACATTGTGCTGGAAGATTTACACATGAAACATAAAGTCAACGAATCAGACTCACCTCTTGAGTCTTCGCGAAAGGAATCTCGGCAACACTGGGCGGTGCTGTATGATATGTGTGAGCATGCGCCTCGTCGATAATTGTTGTAGATAGACTTTGAATGTGATGGGAGCAGTAGAAAAATGGCTGTATGCGCCGGTATAGTTGAACGAGGGGTAGTCGCAACAGCAAGCCTGAGCCTCCGGCAGGCATAGCCGGGATTGTAGTTGGGAAATATGCTGCAACAGATTATGTAGATGAGATACAAGGGATGCACTGTTACACGCACATCATTCATTCCCAGGATAAAAAGTTATGCTGTGTCTTGCGTACGGATTTGATCTTGGGCAGGGATCACTGTCTGAATGACCATTGTAGCAAAACAAGGAGTATATACAAGATATGTTGGCGGAAAATCAACAGAACATGCCTCGTGTGTCAACCTTTCCTTGGGACCATCCTTTGGCAAATAGCCTAGTCCTCGAGAGTTTCCCACTCCGAAATTTTGTCTCCGAGTCTGCGGAGAAGGTGACACAACACACCTCGGTGAGTGGTGGAATATGGCTCTGTCCCCTACCTTAGGAGGGAGACCACGTGTGATCTTTGAAGTGCGATAAGACAGTGGACCTGTATCGATGCTTGAATCGATCGAGAGAGCGTGGACATGGAGGTAATATTGTGCGTTGTTATGTAGTACCAGCCATTTCCGTCCTCTGTTGCTCGCGATGCTGTAATTTGTTCTAATTAATATACCCTCTCGGGTTCTTGTGGATTAGGAGATACGGCTTCAACCGCGTTGAAGTAACAAACGATGTGAACAGAATAATAGCGCTGTATTACGCAGCAGGATGTAGGCCTCAATTATATCACTTATGGATTCTGAACGCTGCATGAGCAAAGCGCTAAACGAGAGTGATGGATGTTTTAGGCTGGCTCTATTTGTAATTGCACTGCAACGGACTTATAACATCGCCACCACAACCCGAGTTAGTAGCACAGTCATCAACAGTTCATCTAACGAAGCTGAGCGCTGAGCTCTCATATTGTCGGACTCATCTTCTCTTTCTTGCGCTGTCCAAGTAGCCCAAGTTGGGTACTGTGCTCCTGATTTCATCGAAAGCAATTCCAAGAGCGTGCTCAAGCATTGACAGTGTCTGTTATGTCGACAATATCCACTCAGCTGCGCAACTTCAAGGAACCTACTAAGGATCAGTTGACTCATGTTTTCTTCTCAATACCGGAGGTACCTCCTGTGCCTCCCAAAGACACGGAGAAACGTGGTTCTGGAGATATAGAGAATATGGAGATCAACGCCATTCTCAGCTTTGGTGCACAAGAAGTGGAGGACTCATATGTAAGTGGCATGTCCCCATCTACGTACGATATCTCATCGTTCGATTTTACTCAGGCAGGAAAGCTACACTTGCTTCCACCATATCTTGCATTTTCCTCCCTGGATCGCAAGTCAGTCAGGTTTACATTGCCCCTCTCCACAGTACGACGCGTCGAACGTCTTAATGCGCGTGCTGGAGTTTACGCCTTGAGTCTCTCCACTTGGCACGGCATGAAGATAGTAAGTGACATCGATACCATCTGATGCCATCATTAACACCTGTTTAGATTGTGCAGTTAACTTCCCTTCGACCCACCGCCGACCTATTTTGCAGTCTCCTGCGGGAAGCACTCAAAGCGGAGCTGCAGCGTGGTCAGATGAAAGCTGTGAAAGGCTTTGTGAAAACCTGCTACTCTGAGGGGCTTGTGTCGCTATCGGGTATTTCAGACAACGAGCGGGAGGACGGAAGTCTTATCACAGAGACAAAAGAAGGAGGTTCGCCTCCAGAAACAGAATTCCATGGTGGTTTAGGGTTGCGATTTAAGTTCCCTGGTGACCCAAAAAAGTTAATCTTTTTATACGCGCTTTATTCCTTGCACTAACGTGTTTCAGGTTGCGCGAGGCTTCAAAAATCAAGCTATGGACGACATATTTAAAGAGTACGCTTTCTACTTGTGTTTCATCTGAAACGATTGACCATGATGTAGATCACGGCCGCAATCTTACATTACTAAGATACCCACAGTGTACTCGATTGGTTCAGGTCGGCCTCCCCAATCGTCTTCGTGGTGAGATGTGGGAGACTTTGTCTGGATCTATATATCTTCGTTTCTCCAATCCTGGATTGTACGATCAATTACTGTTGGACATTCGGGGGACGAACAGCACAAGTTTTGAGGATATTGAAAAGGATTTGCATAGGAGTCTTCCGGAATATGCAGGCTACCAAGCTGACGAGGGCATCAGCGCTCTCCGTAGAGTATTACAAGCCTACTCGCACAGGAACCCAGAAGTCGGCTATTGTCAAGTACGCTTGTATCATGTTTTATCATTCATTGAGTCTGATTCATGTTTAGGCGATGAATATACTGGCAGCTGCGATTCTAATGTAAGTGTTTGACTTTCACGGAACGTATATCTAATATTGGCGAAGTTACATGTCAGAAGAGCAAGCATTCTGGCTTCTCGAAGTTCTGTGTGATAGACTTCTGCCTGGCTACTACAGGTATGTCCTGCCAAACGATATGCTGTTGCTATCACTAAATGCATCTAGCCCAACTATGCATGGAACACTCCTGGATCAACGAGTTTTTGAGTCTCTTGTGACACGGTGCTTGCCAATGATAAGCGATCACTTTCAGGCGGTTGATGTACAGCTCTCGGTCGCTTCTTTGCCATGGTTCTTGAGTTTGTTGGTGTTCATGACAATTTATGCTCTACGCCGGACATGACTCGCTCTTCCCAGGTACATCAATAGTATGCCTATGGTTTTTGCCTTTCGCATTGCAGACTGCTTCTTCTGCATGGGTCCGAAAGTGCTCTTCCAAGTAGGGTGAGTTTTTCTTTGTCATTTCCAGTTTTTGTGTAGCTCACAAACTTGTCAGATTAGGTCAGTGCACCTCGCTTGCAATTAAATATACCCACCTGACTTGTAGAGCAAAGCCATTCTTAAGATTAATGGCGAAAAGCTATTGCAAATACAGGACGATGGGGGCTTCTTAAAGTGGGTTGATTTCAACCTTTGACGGCTTATACTCACTACGACTAGCTTGATGCGCGAATACTTCGCCTCGCTTGGTGACTCTGCGCACCCAGAGTCTGCAGACCCTCGAACAAGGGCGATCACACGCTTCCAAGAACTACTTCTTATCTCGTTCCGGGAGTTCGCTGTGATTTCTGATGAAACGATTCTCTCCGAACGTAGAAAGTATAGAAACGAAATCGTCAACAGTATCGAATCCTTCTCTAAGCGCTCGGCGGTGAGAAACCTGAAGACACTCGCGAGATTCACCAAAGAACAAGCTGGGTTCATATACGATGCTTTGTACAAGGCCATGTGTGAAGTTCCACCACCACCGGTTGCTGCTCCACCGCCATCGCTCTTGACCACGGCTGATGGAAACCAAGAGAAAGCAGAGACTAGGATTGGTCTACCGACTTTCCACATTTTCCTCAGTGAAATTTTGACCTGGGCACGGAGCGAGAAGATTGTAATCAATGGTTTCCAGGTAGTTCTACGATCTTTATGTCGTATGTCTCGATTGCTGACATTGACACGAATAAAGCAACGCATCGACCGCGAGGTTGCAGAACATGAGCTCATCGATCGTCTCTTTTATTTTTGGGACACCTCGTGCAAAGGCTCTTTGTCGTTCCAGGCATGTTTCTTGATGAAGCAAATAATTTCATGCTCACGAATGCTCCCAGGATCTCGTATCTGGTCTAGATGGTGTGATGTTCAATGATTTGATGGAGAATATCGAATGGTTCTTTAATCTGCACGACAAGAATAAAGATGGGTATTTAACCAAGGATGAAGTCCTGACCCTCTCCGAGTCATTTCTTGTCAGTCTATCCGCTTCTGCTGACGTTCAAGGCTGACTAGCCATAGTTCATTTTCCGTCATGAGATTGGCGATGCCTACCTAGGAGCCGTCAGCAAATTTATGACCAACGCTTTCGAGTATGGCGATAGTCTTCTGCCACAACACACCGATAGCAAGACCGGAGCAGCAGGTCCTCGAGAGATCGGGCACAACCAGCCATACCTCAACCTTGCTACGTGCGCCACCCCGTATGACCACATACAATCAATCTTACACTTGACAGGTTCCGGATGGTCGTTCTAGCTGACGAGGTCTTAGAGTCGTTTTTCGAAACTGATCTTTCTGCCTCGTTCAGGTTGGAGCCCGTTCCTGACCTTGAGTTACCTCCGGCATCAAGCGGCTTCTTAGGCGATCTGTGGTCTAACATTGCTACCCAGGACAACAGGAAGATGTTCAACAGATTGAGCGACGAGCTTGGCAAGACCATAGGCAAGCATCAGGTGTGGCAGTTGGTATAATCATTACTCGATAAAGTTAACGTTCGGCTTGCAGGTTATCTATCGTCCTACAATCGGACGATTCACAAAACTTGAAGAACCGACAGCCCGGGAGTCGCTCATTTCTTCACCGACCAAGACCACCTCCTCGGGAAGTTCTTTGGATACTGCGGCAGTACCGAGCTCATCTTCAACTCTCGATACGTCATCCATCCACGACAATGGTCCGTTGTCTGGCTCGGTGTTTTCTCCGATGCCCCACCTCAAAGCGGTCAATGCGGCATTCATGGAGCGCACGCCCTTTGCTATCGACGACGTAGGTGACGATGACGATGATAGTGATTTAGACATGGTTCATGGCGAAGATGATGATCGAGTTCTGGACGAGGCGAGTGGTTTTTCTTCATGCAAGTATATTCGATGATACTCATACCGTACGTAGGTGGATGCCTTTTTGGAGGCCCATGATTCAGGACTTACTGAAGCAGACAAGGAAATGGCAAAGGGTAAGATAACGGTTTTCGTTTGTATACCTAACTTCTGATCGCGTTCAATCAAATACAGATCTTCTTAATGCTGAACCTGTCAAGTAAACGGTGTCAAAACTTTCACACGTTTATGCTATTGTTCGGCTTTCCATTTGCGAGTTATATATCAAGTGTAGGATAGTGTACACGACAAATAAACCGATACTAGTAGAACTAGGCATACAAGACCACACACAATGCACATTTCTCACCGTCGATCAGCATGTCGACCCACGATCAGACCATATGCGAACTGTAAGATCTGGCTCGATGGAGCCAGACGCAATCATGTTTTGCTGTGGGTGAGTAGCCACAGCGACGACAACACCTGACACCCAATTAAGTTGTCGAACTCGGTAAGAAAATATGATTCTCACCTTCATGTCCCTCAAGAATTTGCACCACCTCACGACTTTGAAGATCCCATATATAAACCTTTTGGTCTTCGCTTCCAGAAACAATCCATTTCCCCCCAGTAACACTGAAACAGGCCGCTATACAGAACTTCTCATTGCGATGACCCGTATATGTTTTCAAGCAGCGCGACGTGTGATAGTCCCATAATCTGATCGCACTGTCATGAGCAGTTGAGAGAATGTACTTGGAGTTGGGCGAGAATTGCACGTGTTGGCTGAAGATCCATAAGATATTAGGGAACGAAACGAGCAGTGGCAACTGACAGACATACCATACAGCATCGTGTCCTTCAGCGAGAGTTTTCAAGCATTGACCGGTTGTGGTGTTCCATATCCGGCTGCGGTTGCGTCAGACGGATAAAGAAGTAATATGTTGCGCTCACATTAGCCCATCAAGAGCACAAGAGACTATCAGGGTGGCGTCTCTGTTGAAGTGCACGGCAGTAACATAATCAAGATGCGCATGTAGAGTCTTCATGCATTTTCCTTGGCTTGACATGAAAAACTGGACAGCTAAATGTAAGCAGCCTTTGCGCACCTCTTGCAACATTCCATATTCGAACATCACCATCACAACCTCCAGAAACCAGGAGGTTGGATGCTGTGTTGTAATTTACACAAAACACGAAACTCGAGTGCCCTTTGAGATGTTTTGTCGTTAATCCCTGGCCTACGGTATTAGTCGACCAGAGAATGATTCTATCATTGACGACTTACAGAATCAACGTTCCATATCCGTACACTGGTGTCATCAGACGCTGATGCAAGATAGACACCATCTGTCGACCACGCGATATCTGAGAGTCCTTTGGTATGGCCACTCAAGTTTCTGATCAACTCTCCTGTGAACGGGGACCATATCTTTACCAGACTATCTGCAGCTACACAAACAAAACGTATTTCAAATACAACCGGTCCTAGCGAGCTGTATACGAACCGCAAGATGCAAGTAGCGTTCCATCAGGACTGAATTTGACGGCAGATATAGATTGCGTGTGTCCCCTTAGTGTATGACGAAGTTCGTAATTTGGCCTGTTTCGCATTCCTGATGTTGCCGGTGGAAGCGCTTGAGGGACTGGCTGAGGTGCAGGCTGGGGAGGTTGTGGTGCGGGAGGATGATTGTCTGGTACTTGAGGGTCGTCCTCAGTTGTTTGAGAAGCATTATCATCGTCAGTTGTAGAATCGTCCATTCCGGCGAGTGGGTCCATGACGATTATACCAGATGTCGAACTTCAAGAAGGCATGTACTACAACTCCAAGGCGTTGATGGCATTTGTGTATATTTGTTAGAGCCTAGCTTGTGATTTCAATAAACCACAACAGCACCCAATTTCTTTCTCTCCATGCTCGCATCCACACCTAATGTAGCTGCGATTTTCAGATCATTCCACGCGCTTCCTACGCTACAGACTGGTATCAGCGGAAGGTGTATATCGTCCAGAGCCAATGTTATTTTCAAGGATGCGAAGTCCGCAGAATTTCTCGCTGCAGTTGGTGATAAAGAATCTCTTTCTTTGCTAAGTGGGCTTCCTGAGGTAAGTCGCTTAGATGCCGAGTACTTCACATGATGCAGACTTGTGAAGGTAGTTGTAACAGGTCGAGCAAATGTTGGAAAATCATCCTTGCTTAATTCTGTGATTGGGCGTAGAGATCTTCTTTTCACTAGCAAAAAAGCTGTGAGTCGTTATGGACTTAGTGCTGTATTCTACTACATACTAATTTTGCACAGGGCCGAACGCAAACACTCAACTTTTTTCGCGTTGGATCTCCCCCTGGTCGTTTGGTCGTCGTCGACTCTCCGGGATATGGTGCCAGGGGCCGACCCGAGTGGGGTGACCTGTTCAACCATTATCTAGAAACTCGGAAACAGTAAGTTTCCCATGCCATTTTATTTACATTTGACACCGTGTCACAGGTTATGCCGCGTCTTTATCCTGATATCCGCTGCCCATGGTATGACTGCTACGGACGAGGCAATGCTTTCTTCGTTGAATGCTCAGATCCAGTCACACGATGGTATCTGCTGGACACTTCAAGCAATCATAACTAGGGCCGACGCACTGAAAACAAACGGTCGCGCTCAAATCGATCAGATCGAGCAAGATATCTTTCGCGTTGCCCCAACATGCCTACCGCCTATCGTCACCTCATGTCCGTCCAAGGGAATTCCTTTTGGCATCGATGAAGTTAGGAAGTCGATTTCTCATGCATGTAGAATCCTCCCTTAAAGACCTTACTCTCAGTGACTGCCTGCCTGTCGTTGACAATAGTCACACCGAGTCTCGTTTATTTGATAACATGGGTGGTCTCGGATTGATCTTGGAAATTATGCCCTTCCCAAGCGTGATGTGGTTTCCTTAAGGTGACTGGGGAATCGAATATATGTTCCGGGATGACTATTCTTCCTTGAGATCAAGACGGACTCGCGTGTCGCCGTGTTTTTATCGCACCGACGCTCCGAGCGCGCTTCTCAAATCCCAAGGTGTACAGTGATCTGCGTCTTCGTCGGTGATACGTTATCTCTGTGGAGGTGTCGATTTCCCTGCACATATTACACTCGAGATGCGGATTGAAATGTTCAGATTTACCTGTTTGGTGTGTCGGAACGTTCAAAATCCGCTACTGCCTCCACTGTGGTAATTCGACCACTGTATATGCGCTCAGGCGACATGTGATGGTAATTTTGAGGTAATAACGGGAGAGTCATCTGATTCTGTTACACGTACTGGCCCTACAGCCGTGCGCTACAGGACTTCGAAAATGTTGTCATCGGCATGAGCTATGCCAATATAGGCAGAGATAAAGCGATCGCCGACCTATATATCTCGGCAATTAGTCTGCTAAAATAGGCGCATTATACTTCGGTGCTCTTATTGTGCTACATCTCAACGCCATCCAGCCAACGTCGTCCTGCACATTTCGCCTCCTCGTCGACGTCTCTCATCATCCCTGGATCGTTAGCTCCCCACCTAGACTTCCAGTTCAACGGGTGATTGCTGTATAGCACCATGCCCTTGACTTTCAGTCTTGAAACCTATACTGCTATATTTTCCGCCATTCTCATGTCGCTGCGCTTGCCGTCCAGCCCACCACCTTATAACCACACACAGTCATCGTATCATGACCACTCCGTACACAAAAATAGGCAATATCAGGACCTCTTGGTCCCTGTAGCACCTTCTGTCTTGATCCACATCCCAAGTCCTACGTGCCATAGTCCACGTAGTGCACACCGCAGAAAACGGAAACAGAGCATTCCTATGGTGGAGATAGTACATCATAAAACAGTGAGTCTAGGACAGTCGACAGTGAGTCAATGACCTGTAGCACTGACTCTTTTCATGATAGGAGCCCCCGCAATTGATGCAATAATATTAACGCATATAAATGAAAAATAGGATAGGGAATTGGTGTAACATTTGTTTGAGGTGAGGGTGGGACTTACTGCAGAGGTTCTAGATTAAATTCTGATCAAATTCTGATCCAGTGACGCCGTCCATCATGGACCCCGAGCCCCTTGTCCAGACCTTTTGTGGATTTTTTTGTTGATGATCGGATAGCCTGGCCTTTCGAATATTCCCTCATATCTCATCTTCAGAAGTTCAGATACTGCCTGACTTCCTGTACATAGGCAAAAGAATACGTTTGAAAACATCTTGAAACATTTGCCAATGTGATACACTATCCGAAAAACCAAACGCTAGGTCAGCGGAATTCCATATATCAGCCCGAGTATCAAGCACTGCAAAATGATATAGATATGGAAGGGATCGATGGAGTGTGAACAATAGGATTAGGCTGCAAGATGTGCAATGGACATGCAACCATCTGTGCGATCCCGAGGTGTGCTTGTCACGTCCCAGTTCGATCGCGACTGTATGCATCGCCAGCGTCGCTAAGCCTGTAGTGTTGTTCAGTCATGAGTAGCAATGAAGTGTAGTATTCGGGAAGTGCCGCCTGCGTCGGTTGTTTGTCGTCGCATAGAAGAGATGCTGAAATTAGTAATTTTAGTCCGGAACGTTCTGACTCATTGACCCAAGAGGTCGAAAGCAAAGTACAAACGAAACGGGTGAGCTTCTATCGATGAGGAATACAAACGCCATCTCATCAATTCAGGTGTGAGAATTTGTTCTCTGAGAAATGGCTGCTCGTTCCTACGCTGATCATGAGTGCTTGAGCACTTGAGCCGTGCCGCCACGGCAATCACACACAGAGTCTCTAGATTTAAAAGCTCACATACCTATTTTACACCGATGCGGTCATTCCGCCGCAAGTATCTGTCATTCATACAGTGTCAAGAAGACATTTGTATACAAAACTATCCGGCTGACTCGGACTGCCAGCGTAGTCCGGATCTCAAACAATGAGCTATATCGGAAGCAATTCCCGTGATTCTCGTGTGCGTACCAGCTCCACATACACCCCACCACACTTCCATTGCTCGCCGTCAGTGTTCGCTCGGCGGTCTCCACTTTCTCTGCGTAGTGCTTATCTCCGTGTCCCGTCGGCTTATCTTTGTTTGTACTCCGCCTTTTCCAATGCGTATCTTCCTGAACCCCACACTGGGGAATTGTGCGTTCTTCATCTGAGCTGCAGAGGTGCGTATCGTGTATTTCACTACGTCGACCTTCCTCGTTACCATAGATTCCCGGGACATGAGGCTCTTTGCTTCATTGCATTTGCATTCATACGTCCGGCTCTTGTCTCTACAGTTTCCAGAATGTGTTCCATCGCATCTCATCGAACAGTTGGTGCTTCCCGGTGCTCGAATCCAGAACCAACAGGACATGGGGAAAGCAATGATGCATACTGGTGGAGTGGGCGGTGAACTCGGTCTTCGTGCGTTATCTGCTTATACGTGGCACATAATATTATTTCTTATCTACATTGGTGGTATTCGTGGTCCCGTAGAAGCACCCACATATGGTAATCCTAGATGTTCGGGCTTGCATACTCCATCGCACCAAACAGATGCGATTCAAAACGATCTAGTAGGTGCGCGATGGGAGATAGATGATCGCGTTCGACAAGAGCTAGGACGTCCATGCATTACTTGTCACTTGGACTCGCCGTCTTCACATACAAGGCTGGAGCTCATGCCACAGTTGCATTCCGCGGTGGTCCCGGTTATACCGGCACTCGCAGTGATCGGCTGGCTGGCTTTGATATTGTTCTTCTCTCTCATCTATTCCGTCCGAGAGCCTCGCTAGAAGTAAAGCAAGGAATAACTCCGTGTTTGACATTAGTACAATGAGCAATGTGTAGAGGTTAGCATATATAGCTGAGCATGTATATCAGCTACAGCGTATTGTACTAGTGGCCCCTGCGGGTGATAGGCGCATGTTTTAAGTTCTGCCTCAAATCACACTATCGATAATAAGGTGGATTTACAGTCGAATCACGTAGGATAAGCGTTTATAGTTGCCTTTATTCCATGTCAAATAATAAAAACTCAACCGCATCTTCCCCTGCGTTCTCAACCTTCAGTTCAGCATCCTTTCCCACAAACAAATATGAGCCATCTCCCTCTCTAAGCTCGATTATTGGCCCCTCGATTTGAGCACCAACGCGCAATCTGACGCCCCTGGCGTTACCAGGATTGTATCCAGATTTTTGAACGACGTGAATGTACGCTTTACGCCCCTCAGGGTTGCGGCTTGGGTGAAACGCATGCACGAGGGATATACCAGGGTCCATGAGCGACGCATATGCGCGAAGCTGCGAGCGAATTGGAGCGGGGCCTTCAGCCTCTCTCTCATTCGAGACTTCAGACGAATTGGAAGGCGCAACGATAAGCCTGAATTGGTTTCGCTTGTCTTGGTCGGTGAAATGTCTGCCGAAACCAAGCAGTTATTGAGGTATGTTCAGGACAGTCAGAGATATGTCTTACCTGGTGAAATAGGCGGGTTTGCCTTTTCCTTCCCCGGGACGGGGAGATGCCCATATCTGGCAGAAATGTACCTCTTCAGAGCCGTGGGCTTTCTCAGAGTGAGAGATGCCGGTTCCAGTGGAGGTCATCTGAATGGCACCACGAGACAGTATTTCAGTGTTGCCCATAGAATCTTGGCTACACAATGACGAAGTTAGTCATACAGTCTTCTACAAATAATAACTGGAAGGGGTGCTCACTGTTCTAGCGCACCACTAATCACATAGGAAAAAATCTCATACTCTCGATGGCTGTGGGTGCCAAAGCCAGTACGAGGCGCTACGCGGTCCTCGTTCAAGACGCGTAGAGAACCAAAAGACTCGTGTTTCGGGTCATGGTAACTGCAAAATGGTCACATGATTATGCAATGAAGATCAAGGTCAAAGGTCCATACTTGGCGAACGAAAATGTATGGAAAGTTTTGAGCCAACCATGATCTGCTTGGGCTCGTTCAGTGTTCCTTCGGGGAATTATCTCGATGGATCTGCTGGAAGACATCTTTCTTGCAGTATGATATGGAACCGCAAAGGATTTCAGCGACAATAGTCTGGTTGGGGCTGCAGCGTTCTGGAGTAAAGCTGTAGTCGTTGGAGACACTTTTAACGATGAGATTGAGAGAGAAGGAAATGTTGAGTAAAAGCGAGCTCCTAGCCTCGAATTTATAATCAGCGGCAGCCTAATCATCGGTCGGCACCGTCGTCTCAGGGGTTACCAATAGCTCCCTTTCTTGGTCTTCCTCACTCACGCATTCTCACGGCCCTCTGCTTATTACGGGTCGGGAGTCTTCATGTGCGGTGGTTATGACCTAAAGGTGCCACATAATTGTCTGATCCCAGAACGCCTGGCATCGGTATATTAATCAGAATCAATAGTTTGATAGTAATCATCCAAAAGCGAGTGTCTTATCCTGTTGTGGCAACATATTGCGTCCTGGTGCGTGGGTCTACATCTCCCTTTGAAAGTTTAGTCGCACAGATTCACAGCTTCGACTTCTGCAACTCGGTCAGGATCAAACTCACGACATCAAAGCCCTGAAGAACGAAGCATAACTTGCTAGATTTGGTCCATCAGAAACACAGGAGTGACAGGCTTTCGTGTTTTCATATAACCTGGTAGTAATTCATCTACGACCACATCAGGGATAGTAATATCTGTTATCACTCACCGGCAGCAACGGTAGCCACGAGTGCCTTCTATCTGTAATCCGGAGGTGCCCTGTCTTTGTAGTTTGTCCAAGTTCCGTCGAAAAACCGACTATTTCGTCAGGTAAAAGACCCCTTTCAATACATGAACGGAGGCTCTAATGAGATCAGGAAACCGGTTTGCCCCCCAATCTCTGAGACTACTAGCACCGATAATTATTGCGCCATGGGGCTGTGGTTAACGAAATTCCGCTTCGTGCTTAACCTGTACGGACACAGATAAGTGGTGAAATACAGGTATATGCAGTGCTTACCAAGGAGTCTCGTGATGACTTGGAGGCGATCTCCCAGTTTTTGTACTTGGCTTGCAATTCTTGCAGCCATCACAATGGTTTCTACACCCCAACGGCTGCCTGGCGTACTAGGAGATGCAATACTTGTACCTGCAAGCAGACCACGACTAACAAGAGACAGTGTCAGAGGAACGTGTAAAATATCAAGGATAAGTAGCGTATGCCAAGGCGGCCAGACCCATGGAATCGAATTCCAGATTTCCGTAGACAACGGAACAGTCTTAACCGGAAGGATGAGTTTGAGAGGCGCATGAGATCCCGGAAGAACAACTGATCTAGACCTGAGGCCTGAGTACTGAGTTCCCGGGCCTCTCCAGGGAATTCTGAAGCCCTTACTAGTACACCGTTGATCTGATCTACCCATTGCTCTTGGCAATCGTCACTATCTCACCAAGAACTAAATTAGACAAGTTCAATATCAGTGGCGGCACAGCTCACCTGCTCCCAAGTGTAAAAATTACCCAGGCCAAGTTAATTCTTCGCTGGGATGTTCCGTTAATTGAGCTAGGGACATTGTTTAAAATTAGAGGCACATACAAAAAGCCTTCCTGATACAGTTCATTTACATCTAGATGCCTATATCGTCATAAGATATGTTCCGGTCGGACACACGAAGGAGAAAACACGCGGATCTTATACGGAACAAGAGGCTTGCGCAACTCTCTGAGCCTCATGATTACTCGGCTTTTAAACTGCAGCCCTGTGAGACCGCTAGTGTGAACGCCCATCCCGAAATTACAGTGACGATGGCGACTAATTGGCCTAGTGTCTATTGCGGCGCCCTTGGGCTTGATGTCCAGTTTGGCCAAAGTACTGCATCTCTTGATCAGACGAATGCCTCCCGAATAGATAACAACATAGAACATACCTCTTCTGAAGTGCCATTGCTATAGTTCCGCCCAGTACGTATCCCTTTGCCAACGAAACCGGATTTCTGGTGGCGCCCTCGATAAGTCGGCATTTCATTGTCACCGACTGTATCTGCACCCTATGAACTTTTAGTTAGATTCCCTGCGAGCACTGGACGTACATAGATCAAGGTGGCCATGATTCAGTGGGATGGTCCCTAGCATGTACACACTGATAGTATATAACCATATACATTCGCCTATGAATAATTCGAATGCCACGCCCAGTAGCCTGAGAGGACAGACACGCCTAGTACTATAGCTAGTCTCCAGGTGTAAAATTGCTAGGTGCGAATGGATGAAGTGGCAGTGCCTGACAGTGCCTCCCCCAATACTTTTAAATTGTTTTTCTCCTGATCGTCTAATGGTAATTTAGCAATTGTGCCTAATTCTAATGAAATAAATTCGTGTCCTGACCTTAATCGCGGCGACCTGCCGGATCATTTACATTCCGAATTTCACTCCCCCACTACTCTCTCCGCCTCCTTAAATGCAACGTCACTTGGGCTGCCGTACGTAGTCGCCCCTTTCTCCCAGATTGCTCCTTTGTGTCTAGACTGAAAAGAACAGGACGAGACAAGGGCGAGAACAATCTAGACACGCGCCCAAAAAGGAAAAGTTTTCCCGCTGTGTGAAACTACCCTACTTCGGTCATAAGTCGGCGCATCTAATGCCCCAAGCCTGACTGGTTCGCATAGATACGCGTTTCCGAACATCGAGGGTATATATCAAGGGGTATAACTGAGCAATAATACAAAAATGAACGTGCTGCAGTGAAAGGGTTGGTAGCGAACGTGGGGAGGCCAGACAAATAGATGCCATAGCCTGTGTGTATCAACTCCAGGACATTCGCGAAGTGATCCCAAAGGTTGGGAGAAGTCGTCAGTGACTCAAGGGGCTGCATAACGTCACCCCAATAAACGGGAATCCATTCTCACCAGAACCGAGTATCTTCCGAGGGAATGTCCATCAACATGCGTAACATCACAATGTTGGATGTTAGGCTGGAAAACTGCAACACCAGTTAGTCTAATCGGTTGTGGAAAGCGACTCGCGACGTACCCCGTTACCTATTAACACCTGAGCACGCTGACCGATCAGCATGTCCACGGCTTGTGCGACAGGCTTTGCCTCCCAGCTCAACTTCATATCTCTGCTGGTCACAACAGCATCCCATTTCTTCACCTGCATCAGGGCCTCCTTGAGCTGTTTCAGCCACTCCACGTCTCCATTCGTCATAACATATATGCTCTTCAACTCCTTTACAGGTCCATATAGACGCCTTTGGTCAGCAAGCACGTTCTGCACTTTCTCCACAATCTGCTCAATCGTTGGGAAACACGCTTTGAAGTACATGTTCATATTTGCCTCCGTGGTCACGCCCCAGCCACCATCCGTAGGGACTCTGAACTTATCGGGGAGGGCAGAGAACTGGTTGAACCCATTCCAATTTGAGGACCAGTTAGCAAGATGTGAACAATGACCCGCGAAGTCGCCTCGGCGAATATGAAGAGCCAGCAACCCAGGGATAGTATCCATTTCCTGTGATTTGACAACAGGATGGATGTCGTGTAGTGGTGTAGAAGTTTGTTGCTGGCCGGAAGGGCGTATGAACGAGGGTAAAAATCCAAACGAGGAAGAAGTCGGTGTAAACAAATGAGCATTCTCCGCGTACGCCTGATAAATAAGCGGAGACCAAGAGAAATCTGTCAGGATAGGCGATTTGGATAGGATAGGCCACATTGAAAGTATGCGTCTCGAACCGAACAACCTATTGAAAGTTTGAGAACAGTTAGAGCTGACAGCAGTGCAGCCAAGTGACTCACCAAATCTCAAACAGTTGATATGATTCCTGCCTTATCTCAACGCATGGATCGTCGATAGAATTCAATCTCTCCACCCACTTCTCAAATATTTCCAGAGCAGGTACGTTATCGTCCAGCCTAAGATGCTCGTTCACAACCCAGCTGTCGATGATGGTGGGATTAGGGCACACTTCCTTGAAGTACTCCCGCGAGACAGCACGAGGGGCGGCATCCCCGGGGGGAAATGACGACCCTATTATGGGACCTACACAAGAGAACGGCTTTGGTATGAGCGAAGACGATGTACATTGGTAACGTACCACTGATGATAGCCGACAAGGGAATACGGGAAGGTATGAGTTTGCCGTTGAACGTCGAGTAATCGGGAGCATCTCGTTCCCATGTGAAATTATCGAACACGAAACTAGCGGGCGATATTGAGGGTGAATCAAGGTCATGAGAATGTGGACGTACGTTCTTTTAGTTACATGAGACAGCGCCGCATTCATCACAAGCTCTTGCATGGCATTTCCCCATCCCGAAACTGGTAGTTATCAGTCCTAGCTTGAATACAAACATAACCAATATTCATACTAGTGACATGGTTGGCGGCCCAAAAGAACTTCGCATCACGTCCTTCTGGGAAAGGCAATGAAAGGTTATGCTGCGGCAAGTGTCGTTCGTAATCATGATATTCCTCGTACAATGGCGGTAACGAGTGCTCTTCCGCCAGCGATAGCTCCTGCAGCCGAAATGGCGCAGTCGCCTTGGTGCGCGAGAAGAACACAAATAAGCAGACTAAGATTAATCCCATCAAAAGACGAGTACACCGCCTTGTCAGTGAAAATCGTGACAAGGACGACCTCGTGTCGGAATTGCTGAGAGGTAAAGTCGTCGAGCTATCTGACTTCCTGGGATACACATGTCCCTTGAACGATAACTTGAACGATTGCATGGTCGCTGTCGTAGTGTGTGTGCGTTGACATGTCGAAGTCGGCACGCCTGAGCGGCAGAGTGCAAACATAGCGGAGTTTCCTTTTGTGCAAGTACACTCCGCTAGGCTTCATACTCCGCTAGTCAACCGCTGGTCTTACTACCGACCTATGTCTTGGCAATTTGGTATGAACCAGGTGAAGTACCTTCATTAATATTAAGTAACGATGTATTGAAGGGGATTCTAGCAGCCTGCTTGGCGGCTCGGACCACCTCGTAAATACGCTCTCTGATGCGGCAGGCCGTAACAGGCTACCGCTAGAGTGCCAAGTAGACAAATCACATAGACGCCCTGTCCGCTGTCGCGCAGCAAAGCCTTGGTAGCAAATGTCACTGAAACTTGGGAATCCACCTACAATGGTTCTGATTCAGGAAACTGCGGATACCGCTGGCAACAAACCTTCACACGTTGAACAATCTTAAACCTCCCGAAAGAGGCCATGACATCGATATGCTACCAAAGGGGATCGGAAAGCTTCCAGATGATGGGAGTTGATTCTAGTGATAAGTTGATCAACACGAGATGCATTAGACCGATTATCGATAAGAACGATTCCCGGTATTCTTGTCGAGCTTCACTTCTGATCATGGTCGTAGATGGTGTACTATGTGTGTTCCGAGGAAAGACACATGGTAGGTTCTAAACTTCTCCAAGACACCCGAACTGTTTGACTTATTTATAGGATCCGATCGTCATCAGGCGCCTGTAAGCGCTTCATAGATGGGGACGATACGAGAAACCGTGGGTGAATCATTTCCCCGAGGTTGTGCCCGAACAAATTTTAACCAAATTGTCTCTGGTTCTGATCGGGAACCAAGTTCCGGTCCTCCTCTGAGATACAGACACACTGCAGAGTCCAGACGATCATATCATCCCTATGTTCTCTAGGGTCATGCCAATGGCAATGATAGGCTACTTGAACGGACGCTATCAGCCTACCCTGTATTGCCCCCCGGTTTAATGGCTTTTTCATATTCAAACGATCGCGATGTGCACATAACAAGAAACTGCGCACAGGTGGAATCAAAATAAACGCCAGGAATGGTTTGATATAGGGCTTCATCCTCCCCACTCACGCCCACAGTTATATGCAATGAAAGAACGACGATTATCAACGGAGGAAAAAGCCAGGCGTCGTGTGAACTGATATTCGGCTCGACATCCCGTAGCATGGAAATGGTGAAGCTTTATATGTATCACTGATCATTATCATTGCCATCACAGATTCATACCCTTCGCAATGATGCAAACAGCATGAGACGAAGTCACTTGTACACGTGAGTCGGGAGAGCCCATTCAGGAATATGCTTCACCGATCTAAACTAGTATGTCCCAAGGGAACCATCCTTTAGAAGGGTTGGTCTAGCACCAGACGCGGCCACGCTCTTGAAATAGACATAAAGTTTCTGCGTCGTTCTTCACTGGGTGGTGGACATCTATGTATCCGATCACCTCGATGTATCATATAGCTACTCTCTACAAGGGTATAGGCGCTCTCTCAGGCTCCAAATCCTCCCATGCGATATTACAATGCAATGCCTGCGTGCGACTAGACGGAGTTGTCCTACATCCATTTTTATGCTCGTTCCTCGTTTGTTTTTGTTCCAAATTACTTGGCTTGTTTAGAGTCTTCGCCTGCGGTACCGTACCCAAGAATAAGTAGGCACCCTAGAAAGTGCAAGGCGCCGAGGCATTGCTTGAGAAAGCCGCATTGCAACGTAGCCTCGACCTGCAGGCCCGAAACGGCCGTATGTTGGAGTGAAATGGGGTCTCGTCAACAAATCACGAGCTTCCTGTTGCCTGATTTTGCAATATACGAGACGTACCTATGCAACCATCTCACAGAGTGGTCATGCTGCACAACGGCGAGTCACAGAACAAGGGGGAAACCTACGATAAGGGATGGAAATAAGGTACCTAAAGGGTCGGACAACCGCGGTTGATGATCCGGGCGCATTGCATGCGCACCGCTTGAAAGTAACACAAAGGCGCGAGAAGCTCTGCTTCTGCCTCGAGGCCTGCAGCCAGTCACTATCGTCGATACCACCACTTCCACACGAGTAGTCAAAGCTACGTTTGTAAGGTTTCGTTCAAGTGTTCCTTGAAGCATGGATTGCATCATCTCTTAGCGTAGAACGTCATATTACGAGCTATCCAAGTACTCACGCTCAGGATGCTCGTTCCGCGTTGGAACACCTGACGGCGGCCCTATTAATGGTGATGACGCTGATGATGACGATATGCTCCACGGGCACCAAGGTATGAGATTCTGGACTAGTGACCATCATGAAGTACACGACGACCTCGGAACGTTTCACAGAAAGCTTTCTTCTTGTAACAAAATTAGCAAAAGCTAAGAGAGCATACCAGCTAACAAGACGCTCACAGCTCTTCGAGTTCCCACAGTCGTCTGTTCCTGCACTGATAATGATGACATCCTTGTCTTCACGCCACAGATGCAGCACAGACACCTGCACCGGTGAGTACACAATCATCGGCCTCGGAGCATCCCTGGCAAGTTTAGTTTGTGCAACAAAATTAGCAAAGCTAAGAAGACATGTACAAGCAGAGGAGAAACTCACATGTCTTCCCACCGTAACACGTTCCTGCATTGAAATGTTGCGATGTTCGGACCGATGTGTACATCTCGACACAATTTAGCACACTCATGATCATCACGATAGGATGGAACCCCGTCGAAATTATGATGGAGTCGGATCGATGAACTCGCGTAGTAGATTTGCAAGCTCTAAGCGGTTCTTTTATTAGTGAGCTAAACATAGTGTTCCAGGGTAAACCCCGGATCTGTTTTTCTCTCGAGAACATGTTCTTGTTTTCTTTCAGGAAACAATTTAGACTTAAAAGCGTGTAAGCGCCCGTGGAATACGGTCGCATCGAGGGGCAACGGCAACCCGAGGGCGGATTCGAGCTGAATGGAGAATAATGTAGTTCTTGACGTGAGTGCCGTGTCGTTGCACGTAGTTCGGTAGGCCATGGGAATGCCTTTTGAAAGGCTCTCTCGTGACTTGGTTCGAGGCAGGGTAGTAGTTCTAACAGCGCGGGAGAAGCCATGACGCACACGGTACCACATTGACGGCCTTTTGCTGTCAAAGGGCCATCTGCTAGTGTGGACTTCTCCTGATAGTCGTGATCAAGTTACCAGCTGCAGGGCTCACTGCCGCGCATTACGTGTACGTGAGCCTGAAAACAAACACTCTAATTGGTGGAGGATTTCGGCTATCATGGTAAACCGGGATATTCCAGAACGAGGCGCTCATGATGACCTGGTCAAATGAGCGACCAAGGTCCAAGTTGAAACCATTCTCACAACAGCGGTGCACTGCAGCCAGAAAGGTTACTTCTCACACTACACGGGAATTATCATACATTCGGAACGACCCATTGTCTAGGCCAATCAACTAGATAGACAGGTACCTTGCCACTTTGATAATTCATTGCTTCACGGGAAAGTATCTGTGATCGGAAAATGGATCCAGAGTAGATATGCTAGAGACAGAAACGTCAGCCAGCAGAGTGCGGGGTTACGCGCCTGAGTAATGTATCGTATGAGCCATCCAGTTCTGTGGGCTAGTAGTAGGATGAGAAAATCCAATTACAATCTCCTTGATCGTCGTGGGTACCTCGCATCAGGTGCGGAGATCATAGAGAGGCCTTCCAAGCTCTGCTCTGCTCCGTTGCCTTGCCTAACGCGACTGAGAAGGACATCCTGAAGCATGTGAACGAAGCTTCGAAGGGTCCACTGTCATTGTCACAACAATACGATATGTACGGCAATGTATAAGCCTTCCAGGGAGTGAAGTTTGAGGAAGACAAGTTGGGAAGAATTTCCGGACTCGGATGGTGGGTTACCGGTTCAGCGTCAAACTGCGGGGTAGCATCGACTCCGATCAATACAGGAACCTGCAGGGATTGTGCTGAACTGTGCAGCCTGACAGCAAGTGGGCCACTGCCACGTCGGTCCCGTATCTTGAAGAGAAAAACCGTCTATATTTGCCTGTGTCACAGGCACTCTCCGGAGTTGATCACAAGGGGAGACACGGTTGCACCCAACAGACCGAAAGCTGTCCGTGCTCGACGTGGGAGCGGGAGTGGCCAGGAGCGGTCAAGGAGTGATAGTGATGCTCCGGGGCAGCGGAAGATGCACCGAAAACGAATACCCAGCCTAAGACAAGACAAGGTCATCGTACTAGACTTACACAGCTAATTCCCATGCTTGCTAGCTCCGCCGCAGAATACACTGAGTTTCACGTCGATTGCAAAAGGGTATTGAAGTTGTTTATTCGAAGTACTAGTGAGCAAATATCGTATAATTAACAACAGGTCAGGTATGTAGTGATCAATAATGTACAGAAACAAACATCACTTCAACTTCATCCGTTGGTGGTACACAATATGGGTAAATGAGTGTGTACGATACCATGAATAAAAAAATAATTGTGGGTTATCGTACAACGATGCGAATGCTGGGGTCATGATCGTCATAAGCCAAGATGAATTGGAGAAGAGTAGGGTGGTCATTCGAAATTGTATTCGACCGCTATCCGACATGCCTCAGATATATGGGGAGTGCGACCATGTTGTCGCAGGCTTTGCCTTGATGAGAAGGGGGTATCACAGGCAGTACATGAATGCCCGAGCAATCTGGATGCGCTGTTAGGATCCCGAGAGCGTGATCTTTTTGGGGTGTGCTGAGTGGGAGCTTAATACAAAGTGTGAGGTGTATCGCAATGGAGACTCACAAGATCATCATCAGTCTGATTTTGATTCAACTTTCGTTTCAATGACAACGAGCGAGGCTCTATTGATGTTTTAGTCAAGAGCGCAGAAAACTATGAGGGAAAAGAACACACCAGTTGAGGCGCTCATTGCTTTTATTGAATTATCTCTCCAGTTCTGTACTCGTTTCATGCGAATATCATATGTATCATCTGTCCAAACGACATGCTCTCTGTCCTGGGAAGGGGTGACGAAGGAGGAGCAATATGATGAGCAATCCTCCTCGTCTTCCGAGTCTGATGTAGAGGGATATGATGATCCAGAAGAGAAGCCATATGAGCTGGATTCGATGTCTGGACGTGGGGGAGGTGAAGCCTCTACGAGCTGGATGATCTGAATGGCGTCGCGGACATAGAGATGACCTGGGTTGACCTTTTCCTTGTAAGGATCAAACATGACACCAATAGATGATTGGGTGTGTAGCATGATAGGACTGGAGTATTGGTCGAACATTGGGAGTGTGAAGTGGAAAGATGAGATTCAGGTGGACGTTATTTAAATTTGAAGGGAGAGACGCCACGCGAGCGACATGCATATTCGATTGTATGTAGATTTGTTGTGGCAGCTGTTCAAAAAAAAAGCGAAGCAGAGCCCTGAGAAGTCAGAAACCTGGGGATCGGGCGATAAACAGCGAGATGGCCTGTTTCCATTTTTGGACGTTCTGTTTTCTTGGCGTATTCCCGATTAGGTATCATTGAATATCTGAGATCCAAGTATCTCGATTTCCTTTTTAAGATATTCTACTTCCCATGCCTCTGTTCCATTCCTTGGTGCACTTTTCCCATCGTCTCCTCCGTCCCTCCTTGTACCCTTTCTAACGGCCTTTGCGTTCCATTGTAATTGATCGCTTCCTCACTTCCGAATAAATCGCGCTGTCACAATAGGCTATTTTCTATTCGAAACTACACAACACCTCAACAGGGCACTTGCACAGAGCGATCGAAAAATATTTTCAATCAACTACCTATCATGATCGATAATCTCATGGCCTCATCGGCGCAAGCCACGCCTCTGCTGCTTCAAACTGGTCAATCAACTCGCGAAGGACAGCACCCTCAGAGTGAAGTTGCCTCATGGCAGACAGCGCCTGTGAACCACAACACATGTTAGCTATATCACAACCAGTGATTCTACAATGGAACAAAGACACTGACTAGGTCCCAGAACCGGAATCCTCGTTCCACTTCTTGTTTCGGAGTCTTCACTCCTGGAAACGTGTCTTCACATATCTCGAGGGCCATAGCCTTCGACTCTCTAACGCCTTCTGCATTAGGGTCAAGTACTCGCGTTTGATTATTGAGGTGGGTCAGGGCATCCAGGTACACCTTGGCAAGCACTCCGAATCCAGTGTTCACCTCAGATTGGAAGGGCAGGGAGATAGTAATGTCCAGAAGGTCTTCCCGTGCTCGGCGTGCGTCCGAACGTAGTAACATGTTCAATGTCGTCACCTCAAGTAGCGTTCGGAGCGCCCGAGTCAGGGAACGCACAAAGGAGTTAAACACAAGCAATTCACGTGATAACGGTGCCGACCAAGGTTGTGACTAAATTAAGAATAGTATCAAGTTTGCTGCGATCGGCTAGATATAGAAAAATCACCTTGAAGTTCAAAGGCACGATGCTAAGCACTCTCATGACCAGCAACATACAAGATTTCTCATCATCTGTGTGAGATAATCATTTATCAGTCCAAAGAAAAACTTGTATGTGAATTCCGCTCACCGGTCCCGAAACTTGGGCCCCCACTGAATGCTCGGCCTGACCATAAGTGGCCATGCATTACCCCAGCCCTTACGAGCTCCAAAAACAGATACAGAGGATCCTGGAATTTGTCATTCAAACGAGCTTGTTTAATTGCTGTGTACATAGCGCGCGCCAGTGGCGAGTGAGTGTGAGAGTTGAGCAGGAATCTATAGTTGCAGTGTCACAACAATGCTAAGCTGGCAAGACGGCGCTTACCCTCTGAGTTCCAGGAACCGCCATACCACGTTAGCGACGACCTCATCCTTTTTGTCCAGCTGCCCATTCGGGACGCTTGTCTTTCCCTTGGTACGCGATGCAAGCTTCTCCGTTGCTGTCGCTCCGAGGCAAAGTGCGAAATCGATGGTGGAAGACTGGACCAGCCCGGACCGTCAGATGTGACTCGACTGATAAGCGACTTCGGAAACTCACGTTCTGTCTCCGAAGCTCCTCCTCCACAATGGCATAGCTAACGTTCCAACCCGCCACGCGTTCGGCAAGCTGTACGGTTTGTGGTGAGTTATGTTGGACAAACTTCTGACCGTGAGGTGCGGGGCTCTCAAACCAAAAGTTTCCCGCAACTTTCCGGTTATTCCAAAATTGATGGGAAACACTGCTAATGAGCGCGAGAGCAGTGGCCCGTGGCCCTGTCTGGCCATCGGTGATAACCTCCTTGACGAACCGCTTGTACTCAGTTGTCTCACCGTTATCCAGCGGTGGGGGTTCAACGATCTGACCACTGGTCAGCCACACCAGTGCTTGAGGCCCCAAGAGTCCGCGTGAGAGATAGAAATAGATTTCGTCCGGAAGACGGTGCGTGAATATTTCATGAAGATCTGCAGGAATGTCTGCAGCTGTCGGATGGTGGGGATGGTTAGGACCGTGTGCCGGTGTGGTGATCGCAAGGGGAAGCGGCGTGACACTTCCCTCAGACGAGAATATGAGAGAGTATTTGATCATCGAGCGCGTGCGCGCGTATTGATCGGGATACTGCATACTCTTGACAGCGGGATGTTCCGCGAATGCGGAAACGGCAGCATGACCCGACTTGTAGTATTTAACCATGTCAACCGTGGCCTTCAACGCCTGTTCATGCACAGTTGGTGGAAATGGTGGCGAATGCTCGAAACCAACAAGGATGCCAACATCAAGGAACTGGTCCTCACTGAGACCCAAGTCACCCAAGATAGTGCGTTTGGATACGAATGAAAAAGATGGTGTCGCAGAGGTGAGGTCCAGCGAAGTAATTAATTTGTCTACTCCTGGATAGAGCAGGGTGTCGGTCGGTCCAAAAATTGCATGAATATATGATTTTGGGTGCCGTTGCATGTAAATCAACTGTTTAGGATGCATCAGCGTAGTATTCCTCAAGAGATGGTTTCAGCCTACTTGAGCCCAAGCGACGTATGGAGCAACCAAAAACTCCACATTCCTATGTCTGAATATCCTCAAGACCATGCGCCATAAGTCCCATTGCTGGAGTCCGCTTCTGCCCTCGAATAGTTTTATGGCAGAATCTTCCTGGCCAGCCTCGTATTTTGCCCAAGCATCCCTCCGGTCCCTACATGCATCATTATGCTCCACGTGATGTTGATACTGCTTCCACCGCTTGCTCGGCAAAAGGCCAGGAAAAACGAAGACAGGTTTTATTCGTAATTTTTCCAGTGTACGCAAATCAGACTCGATGCGTGTCGTTAGCGCCAAGGGCAAGCCACCAGTCGCAGCGAGGAGAGGTTCGCGCGAGGGTGGATTGTCCGTCAATATTTTGAGGTAGTAAGATGCATCAATTCCCAGCCGCGAATCGGATAATACAGACAGAGCAAATGATTGCGTGTGCTTCCGCTCGGAGAGGTAGTCTGTTTCGTTTTTAGGTTACACGTCAATTTTAAATGCAGCTCTTCTACTCCGACATTTGATGGAAAATAAAACGTACTTTCCAGGTGCTTGATGGGCATCGCAGTCTTTGAATGAGCTCACTGTTCGTCGGTACCAACTTGAGTGCTTGAACAACGTGCGACAAGGCAACCAACTCAGATTATTATGTAAGCGCGAGAAGTTTCTTCGGCACGTGGAGAGGACTTATAATTAACCTGCACGTCCCACTTGTCGGAAGGCAGCACTCTCAGCCAAGAAAATATTCCCGCTCGGTTACACGTCTTGTCAATACTTTCATCGGTGTGGCGCCGATAATGTTTGCAACATGGATGTCATTAACCCTAAATCGACTTCTACACAGGAACTTTCCTTCGTCCTAGCCCATCTGAGAATTCTTGCCAGGGCTCTCACCGCTTTGCTAGCTTGTTAACATGTGGGTCCATCGCCAAATCCGCTGCTCATAGGGTCTCAGTGTAAACTTGTTGCCTCGTTGAGATGTCAAGGCTGCCGCCAGTTGTGGCTCGTGACGTGTCACACATTTGGTCAAATGTTGTCAAGTTACCACGCAAGGCCAGTGATTTCATGGAGAAGCACGCATATGAAGGGGCAGTATAACACTACAGCCATTGCGGCTATGCATTATACCCCACGCCGGTTTTTTTTGCCGACTCCTGGGGCGTTCAATGTTTATCTGATAAATCAAGAAGCCCCTTTGTCTTTCTTCTTACGCTTTAATTTCCGGATCCTGTGCGAAACGGACTCCAGTGCCTGTGAACAACCTCAGCTGGATCTGGCTAGTTCGTTCTCGTGACGAGCTCAAGGGTCCTTGAAGCGCGGCAGTGCAATCATAGTCAGTTTCCAACAAGCGCCACAGGTCTAAAGCAGATGAAGTTGGCCACCTTGAAGCATGGTTTCAATCTGCCTCCAAATTGACGTCTTCTACCTGCCGATGATGACGTTTGATACGGGTACGAATGATCAAACTTTTAACTGAGTGCGTCTAAAAGTTTGCTCTGCCAAACGGGGACGTCGTTACAGGTTACCACTCGGAAAGTACCATTTTGACATTGTGTGAGCGTTTAATCTGATAACATTCACACACATAGAGTTTCTTTTTGTTGGAAGCTGATAACTGCTAAGAGACGGCCATACCCTGGCGCCATGACTGCACAGCAAAGTCAATCCACATTGATCTTAATGGAGCCTTATTAGGAACTTGCTTCACGATGTCTCAAGTCTAGTCCTTCCACACAGGATTGTCTGTGTTGCAACCCGCCGAGATGCATCCACTACGTTGGCACCACGACTGCACAACAATCGATGCGATGATCGTAGTGGAGCCTTGGTGGGAATTTGCTCCAGAATGGTGCACGAATCTCAAGCCGTATTTCAGGTTTCAATCTCGTCAGTGATTTCATCTTCATTATGCTGTGCCCTATCCATGTGAAACGCTACGTCTTCATGGCAGGTATCTCCGCAATAAGCAGGCGAGCTGGCAGAGGCCATCTCTCGGCCGTTTGCGTTTCCATGGGTCTTGCCTCCCACAGTGCTGTCTTCGACTCTACGCGAACTTTAGCCGACGCGTAATACGGTACGCAGACCTTGGGGTTGGTCAATGGTTGCCCCACACAGTTCAATATGCTCCGGGGATCTGGGTGCTTGGTTTACTCGTTGAAATGTCTCATCACTGTGGTGAGCTGATGCCATACTACTTGTTTCGTCAGTTACTGCTGGCCCGGAGAGAGCAAAAACAGAGCCCGGAGAATCCACATCTTTGGATCCGAGCAGTGTGAGATGCTGTTTGGTCGGCAAGGAAGATCTTGAGAGGCGTCACTGGACCAGTAGCGCAGAGGGCTGAGGCCATGCCTGCCATGCGACGCGGCAGTTGTCGCTCGGCGATCTCCAGACACGAAGACCGTGTATGATGTATGCGAGCTCGCTGGGATCGCGGCTAGGGTGTCTTGTACAACGC